GAGAGAGAGAGAGAGAGAGAGAGAGAGAGATTACATGAATATAACTTTAATTGGTTTTTGTGGTGGCAATTGAGATATGGTGTGCGGACACAGATGTGTTACACACAGATAAATGCCATTCAAAGTAGTAATTGAAAATCACACATAAAAACATTTGTCAAATTCAATGTCTTCTTATACGTTAAAGTAATGCAAAACATTAATTTATTAGTAGATATTTCTTGTTTTGTTGAATAACATGTCTATTAAATTATTACCTAATATAATAGATGAATGAGCCATTCGTGACAGACATACAAATTCCCATAAATAGCTTATTTCTAATGATTTTTTTGTTAAGTAAAGTAAATTCTTGGAAATATTATCAAATTTTATCAGAAATAAAAACAGATAATAGTTATTGCAATAAATTACACAACAAAAAAATAAATCACGGTTTTATCACAGAATTAAATTGATTTCACATCTTATTAAATAAAAACAAAATTATTTATATAAATACAATTTTAAAATATACAATATTTCATTTGCAAAATATAAATATATTTAAATAATCTAAATGATTACTTTTATAACCAAACAATGAATGTCTTCACTGATGACATGCAGTCTGACAGAAGCGCACAAGAATGCCATCCGTGGTATCCGAAAGATCAAGTATTTTGTGGCCCGACGTAAGTTCCAACAGGCGAGGAAACCCTATGATGTGCGCGATGTGATCGAGCAGTACTCTCAGGGACATCTCAACATGATGGTCAGGATCAAGGAGTTACAGCGCCGGTAAGCACCACCATTTGTAGTTTTGCTAATTATAATTACCCTGTTTTACACATTTTTACCATGTTTTAATATGGTTTATCAATATACATGTATATTCTGCGCCTTAAATGCCGCTTCATTACAATGTATACCAGATATACAGTGTAATAGCATTTTCACAAATAGTATTTCCATAAAAGTATTTATTAAGTTTGAATTGAGATTAGTTTTGTATAAAATTAGCATTTATTATATTTATATTTGAACACAGATTACTGTTAATCTCTCTTTAGTTGTTAAATAATTGACTTTTAACTAATATTTGGTATTTATTTCATATGATGTTTGCATCGAAAGACTGGACCAAACACTGGGAAAGCCGGGCTCTCACCTGAGTATTGGTATGAAATGCATACCAATCGGGACCCGACTCTACCGAATGGAGCAACAAATCAACACAATTGACAATAAAGTGGACAATATTTTACAGATACTCAACATTTTCGTAGAGAAGGGAAAGCCATCGATGTTTCAAAGAACTCAATCAGTGGAGGACACGGTGTGAGCGGCCGTTCGCACAATTTGCTTGCAATTAGTCATTGTCTTAATAGTTACGGCTCATAGCGTTGAGCACCGGTATTACCCACGAATGCCTTTTGAGAGATGCCTCACAATAACACACATATATCATAATTACACACCTACTGGAAAGTTATCGTATAATTTGATAGATTATTGACCACAACTTGCCATTCACTCATTAATTATAGACATATCCTTATGGTATAGCCTTTTGGGAAAGTGGTATAAGACCTTTACATACATAACAACTCATACAACTCTACTAAACTGTGATAACATTCATATCCATTACGATTATAATCGTTAATTGGATTGCAATCTAAATATAACATTATTATTATATTCAATAAATAAAGTTAATGTAATTAATGCTGTATTTTACACAATATCTGTTTGTATATAACACATGAAATAACATAAAACATACCTTTCGTAATAATTATATTGTTTATCAAATGATAATATGAAATAAAAGCACAATTAGTTTTAATTCAATTCAATTAATTTGTATCAATTGTTATATTGATTGACATTTATTTATATAAATTGCATTGTATTTCACACTTAATAAATAATTTGTTTTCACTAATGAATCATTAGTAATGATATAAATTTTGAAATCAAGTCATATGTATAATAAAAATTGATAATTAAATTCATTACTATATTTATAAACATTGTCTTTATTGGGATAATATTACAACTCAATTAGCAAATAAAATACGATTTAATTATTTAAACAATTTTATAAAGATTTCATTTATTGATTGATTGGAAAAATATAAAGAAATTCAATGAAAAGTTGTAAACATTTTTTACTTGAAAACAATTAATCGATAAATTGCTTTCAATAATTAAATTTAATAATGAGATTCTTTGGGCTCTTGTTTTCAAATTCATCGATATTTTGAATGCCATCAAAAGGGCTGAAGTCATATATAAGTCTCATAACAATTGCTGGATATTTGGCGCAATAATCACCGCAAACTTTGATCGCCGTCTCGACGCCATAGCACAGGTGGTCGACGTGAAGAGTACGCAAACCGGCGCCAAATTGAGGCGTGAGAGACCAGATCCTGATCACCGTTTCAGACAAACGCAAGTGTTTCAAACATTTGAGTCGCGCCAAAGTTGTCACACAATTGCGGTCGCATTGCGTACAATAGCTATTGTCCTCACTATAACCATCATCATTGTCGTCGTGATTGTCAACATCAACACAATCGCAATACAGATACACTTGTTTGAAGTATAGTCTCTTTACGTTTGGGAACAAATCGATGAATTGCCCAAACCTTTCACTTCTAACGCCACAATTGTATAAATCCAGATGTCTAACTGTCGGGAAACAAGTCTGGCCTGCGATGGGATTCACGATTGAACCAATACTTAGCGATAGGGTTTTGAGATGTGTCTGCGATTTAATTACTTTAAGCACATCTTCAATATAAACCGAAAAGCATTGTATTTTCAAATCCTTTAGACCACAAGTTTTGCTTATTCTCTGCAAGTCTTGAGCGCTATATACAAAGTTTGTGTGCAATAAAGTCAAAGGCGCGGCTCCGGTAGTGATGTATTGGGTGAGACAATCAGCATTTGATGGGTTTGTCATGTCGTTTGTCTGAAACGCTAAATTTCTGAAACTTTTGGGCACCGATTGAAGAATATTCTTGAAACCAATTCCTTGTCTGCATTGAAGTGACTCGAGTTGTGGACACCCGGACACCAAAGCCGCGGTCATTTCGTTCGCCCGTTTCTGGTTTCGGTCGTAAGAGAGACACAAACTTTTGATACGATCGCCAAATGTGTGTCCAATTGTATAAAGTTTTAGTTCATTGATTTCGACAAACATTTGGTTAAGAATTAAGCGCTCAATTCGGCAACAGTTTTGACCGATAATAACGAGTCTTTCGTCGGTCAAAGATTGATAGATGACAAGAGTGGAGACGTTTTCTGTTTGTTTTGTCAACGAATCCAATTCTTGAGGACTTATTCCCGATTTTAGCGATAGTTTGAGTGGATAATCGCTAACATTTCTATTGAATCGACTGATGGGTCGGTGAATCACAACTGGACACTCATATGGAGATTGAATGCAGATGTCATCAAATCTAATGGTATTGACATTCTTGAGGACCTGTTGTCCGCAATACAGAAACTGATGGCTTAATGTCTGCAGAGATACCGTTTGTTTCACTTCAAGATTGCCTAAAATCTTTGCCAATATATCGTTACACAAAACATTAGTTCTTCGTATTCTTCCAGTGCTAACAATGACTTCCTTTTGATTCATTTGTAAGGACTCGCTGTCTCTCAGCTCTTCGGCCGCCATTATTGATATAATTTTTGTCAACTAATGTTTGATTTAAATAGATTTTAACGATTATTTGTATTAAACGTTTAAA